AACGGATGGTATAAATTTAGCAACACTCATCATTCTCATTCAACCTCATTTCTGCTAGAAAATTTGCTTAGACATCTAACTGTTATCTTATATTTTCCTCTGATTCGTGTTATGTGCAGGACCTTTCAACTTGGAGGATGATTGGTCTGGGTAAAGTGAGGCAAGGACTATATCATTTGGTGTGAAATAAGTTCTCCCCCGCTAGTCTCATTCAAGATCTACCTAAGTTCACCAGCCAAACCATTGTGTCTGCTGCTGTCAACCAAGAAAATTATGATATGTGGCATTTCAGATTAGGTCATCCTTCAAATCCCAGGTTGCATTTAACAAATCTACATCAGGATTCTAATTCCAAACACACCAAGAAGCCTTGTTGCATTTGTCCCTTAGCTAAGCTTCATGGGCGGTCTTTCAATCCTAGTCATCATAGGTCAAAAAATTGTTTTGATTTGGTTCATTGTAACCTATGGGGACCTTGTATTGATATTGCTTATGATGGATCAAAGTACTTTCTTACCATTGTTGATGATCACAGCCGGTGCTCTTGGACTTGTTTGTTAAAATTAAAATCTAATGCTTTTACTGCCTTGCAAACTTTTTATACAATGATTGAGACACAATTTGATTCCAAAATCAAAATCATTAGAACTGACAATGGAGGAGAATTTGATTTGAAACAGTTCTATTCAAAAAATGGCATTATAAATCAAACATCATGTGTAGAAACTTCTCAGCAAAATGCAGCGGTTGAAAGGAAGCATCAGCATATTTTAAATGTGGCAAGAGCACTAAGGTTTCAAAGTGGTTTGCCAATGCTGTTTTGGAATGACTTTATCCTAAAAACAGTCTTCCTAATAAATAGAATACCCACTCCTATTCTAGACAACAAAACACCCTTTGAAGGTCTCTTCAAAACCAACAAGTTTATTCTAATCTTAGGATATTTGGTTGCCTAGCCTTTGCTACCACACTTACACACAACATACACAAATCTGATTACAGTGGGAGAAGGTGTGTATTCTTAGGATATCCATTTGGAACCAAAGGATACAAGTTGCTTGATTTGGGAACTAACAAAACCTTTATATCAAGAAATGGGGTGTTCCATGAAAATATATATCCTTACAAAGATTCTAAAATTCAAGACCACAATGATCTTCCAAATCCTAGTCACAAGCTCCATATTCCCGCTTAGTTAGCTTATCCTAAACCAAATGAAATTAACTTAGATTATCCAGCCAGTTCCAATCCTCAGTTGCAAATAGAACTGACACAAGAATCCAATCGAAATGTGAGGCCTTCAGAGGACAACCAACCTCATGCTGAATTAGAATCATCACCTTAAGTCTCTAGTAATTCTCATAGACCTCGAAGGTCTAACAAAAGCAAAAGAACACCTACCTATTTACAGGATTTTATTTGCCAACAAGCATCCCCACTCACTCATTCTCAAGAGTCCAACAAGAAGAAAGGGTTTGTAACTTCGGGTAATCCTTCTCCCTTATGTACAATACTTTCATATCACAAATTGTCCAACAAACATAGAGTTTTTATCTTATCCATACTTACACAGCCTAAACCATCTACTTACCAAGAAGCTGTCAAATTCCCTGTATGGTGCAAAGCTATGCAAAATGAAATATGTGCTCTTGAGCTGAACAAAACCTGGACTGTGACTGATTTGCCATCTGGGAAGGTTCCTATAGGCTGCAGATGGGTTTATAAGGTGAAGTTCAATGCTGATGGAACAATTGAGAGGTATAAGCAAGGCTGGTGGCAAAAGGATACACTCAGTTGGAGGGAATAGATTATCATGAGACCTTTTCACCTGTAGCAAAGTTGGTAACCGTGAGAGCATTAATTGCGGTAGCAGCTGCAAAGGGTTGGTTTTTACATCAATTTGACGTAAACAATGCATTCTTACATAGAGACTTAGAGGAAGAATTTTATATGCAAATCCCTCCTGGCTACTCCGTTAATGGAGCCTCAAAAGTCTGCAAACTTAACAAAAGTCTGTATGGTTTAAAGCAAGCATCTCGTCAATGGTACTCAAAGCTGACATTTTTTATCATTGAACAAGGCTTTCATCAATCTAAGACAGACTACAATTTGTTCACAAGAAGCACAAGCAATTATTTTACTACCATACTGGTTTATGTCGATGACATAATAATGGCTGGAGACAATGTAGAAGATATTAATTCCCTTAAGGTTTTGCTTAATGATAAATTTAAGATTAAAGGTTTGCGAAACTTGAAATACTTTCTTGGAATAGAGGTAACTAGATCGACCAAAGGAATTCAAATTTGCCAGAGGAAATATGCATTGGATATTCTGGCGGATTCAGGAACTATTGGGGCCACTCCATCTAAGATCCCACTTGATCAAAATACTAAACTATCTAAAGATGAGGGTAAGGTACTTTTGATCTAGCTTTATATAGAAGATTAGTAGGCGGATTATTTTATCTAACAATCACCAGGCCTGATCTATCATACTCAGTATCAATATATGCAAAGTCCTAGGACATCACACCTCAATGCTGCACACAAAGTACTTAGATAAATCAAGAGAGCACCGAGCCTAGGACGAATGTTCTCCTCATCCTCAGACTTACAACTTAAAGCCTACACTGAATCAGATTGGGGGGTATGTCCAGATTCTAGGAGATCAATAACAAGATATTGTGTTTTTATTGGCTCCTCACTGATATCTTGGAAATCCAATAAGCAAAACACCATTTCTAGATCATCAGCAGAAGCAGAATACGGGGCAATGGCAGATGTTTGTTGTGAACTAACATGGCTGAGAAATATCCTTGATGATTTACAAATCCCACATCCACAACCAGCTGAGCTGTTCTATGACAATCAAGCGGCCTTACACATTGCAGCCAATCCGGTATTCCATGAAAGAACCAAGCACATTGAGTTGGATTGACATTTAGTTCGTGACAAGATACAAAAAGGAAGAATAATTACAAAGTATGTAAGAACTGGTTCACAAATTGCTGACATCTTTGCTAAGCCTCTATGCTTTGACGTCTTTCATTCACATTTATCCAAGATGGCAGTAGAAAACATCTACTCTCCATCTTGAGGGAGGCTGTTGAAGTCCAAAATCGTAATCAAGAATGATTAGAAGATTGTAGAGTATACTAGAAGGGAAGCTGCTGCCACTTGCTCCAAGGAGTTAGATTAGATTCCAAAT